CCGGATGGTAAGGGTGGGCGAACCCCCCCCCATCAACCCCACCGAGACAGGGGGGAGGGGGGGGGTTTTGGGGGGGTTGAAAGCTCACCCCTTCTTGGGCCTGCCAAGGTTGAGAAACACTGCCTTAGGGAGAGGCAGTCCCCCAAATAACCCGGTCTTGTGCCGTGAAAGGTTTATAAGCACCTTGAATTGCATCCGGAAGCTGCAAGGGAGCCAGTGCAGTTCGCAAGGTGTCGGTGCTACACGGGTGTCCTGAAGTGCACCCATAACTACCCACTCCTGGACCAACTGCAGCTTCCAGAGCGTCTTCAAGGGCAGCCCCATGTACAGTGTGTTGCAGTAGTCCAGTCAAGACCGCCTAGCTCACTTTGTGAATCAAAGTACAGGGCCAGCCTTAAAAGTTTAGTAACTAGCTTAATTGTACCACCCCCACAAGGATGGGGAGGGCGTGGTGAAAAATACGCCTTGAGCCATCCTTGAATTTCACGGAGAAAACGCAGGACTTCAGTGGAACAGAGATAAATAAGGGCTGGATTCTCACAAGACACTAAACCCGGGTTAGCAAACTCCAGTTAAGCTATCTACATAACATGGTAACGGAGACAAACAACCAGGGGTGTCGTTGGGGTATGGTTAAGAAAGGCAAAATGGCAGCCACAATGGTGGAATTGAAGCCCTGCCCATTTTAAATGGGTGGAGCTTTGATTGCAACATCACAGTTGCCATCTTGACTTTTTTGACCATGCCCTGAGGACACCCCTGCTCAGAACCATAAGGCTGTAAGGTTAGACTGAAAGACACTATGCGAAGACGAATCAATCAATTCCAATCTGTATTTTTGTAATCCTGCCACTGATTGAGGTGAATGTGTAATCTAGTTTTAGTGCACCACAGAAAACTGTTATTTGTTTAGCACTGATTTGCAAGTGTTTATACCTTTTCCTCTTTTACGATTTATCTTGCAGAATACCTTGGGGCATCCTTATTCATTTCATGGTAAGAAAACATAACAAGCTTTAACAAACTAACTGTAATTAACTATAAGAGAAGGGGTTATAATTATAATGTTTTTATTCTAATAATAACTTTTTATAATGCCCATTTTTATTCACTTGTTATTTTACTTTAATTGCTATACGCCACCCAGAGTCGCTTTGTGGGAGATGGGCGGCTATATAAATGTGATGTATGTATGTATGTATAAATAAATAAAATAAGGGGTTAGCCAGTTCACACAACAGTTCAACATTATGAACCACCTGACCTAGGTTAGACTAATCTAGCATGTTGCGTGAACCTAAAAATAAAAGCTCTCTCAAGTTCAGTTCAGCTGGTGATTTCATGTAGTTTTACTGGCAGCAATATGGAAGTGGTTTGCCTTTATCTTCCAGTAGTTTTCAACTTCACTGGCAGGGTTTCTCAGTGGTCCCCCCTCCAGGTACTAACCCAGTTTGCTTAGCTTTTGAGGTTCAGCTATGATTGACTAGATGCAACCACGGTGGCCAAAAATCTAACTAGAGCAGTGATAAACCGCTTGCGTGAAGGAATCTCAAAGCAATACATGAAAATGAGAATTCTCTCCCCCTGGCTTGTGGGAGTGCCCCATGGATCCCCCATCTCATTTCCAAAGCTGCTGAGCGTCAAGGGAATGGGCTGCTTTGCCATCTCTCTGCATCCCCCTCTTTCTGCCCCTCTGTACCTGCCGTTAGGGTCTCAACCCTGCCCTGTTTTCACGGGATCCAGAATTTCTAACATCCCTGTGAGTCCACGATGAACAGAGCCAGAGCCAGACTCAAACTCCCAGGACCCCTGAATCTCAGTGGGGCCTCGGTGCCAGCTTCTTTCTCCCAAACAACCTCACAGGACCATTAGGGGCATAACGTAAAAGAGGGTGGAAATGCTACGGATGTGCCCTTCGCCCTTTGGAGGGAGAATCAGATAACTGGAATGTTCACCCAGCTCAACATTTCTCCACTGGGGCAAGCAGGGTGTGCGAGAGACCGAGAGGGTTGGAGGCGACCAGAACGTACCTCAGTCACAATGGTGGAGGCGAAGGTGCTGTGGTCGTACTGCCACCCATCCAGGCACGGCTCGAGCTCCGCAGCCCTGCCCGAGGTGTCGTTGGAGTCAGGCGCCAGCCACCCGGCGAAGCGCTGGCAACTGTCAGGCTTCAGGTCCTGACCGAGAGGCACCAGATGCTCTTGCTGGGAGATGTTTCCTGGGTGCGTCACATGGCACCGATGCTCTGGAGAGGCAGCGCTGAAATTCTGCACCAGGTTGTGGCTGGCGAGGAACAACACGGGCAGCGAAAGGAAAAGGACCGAGAAAATCTGGAAGGTCCCCATGCTGCCAACTTCTTCCAGCAGGTCTCCAAAAGGGATAGTGGCCACAGGAGGCCCCGGGCACAGGGACAGGCGGCGTTGACCCTTTGTGGGGGCCATGTCTGCTTGCTCCTTTTTTTCCCTGTCTCCCAAGGAAAGCACCCCTTTTATAACCAAGGAGAGGAAATGGAATGGGGATGTGGGATTAATGATTGACCATCAGGAAGCTGCGGCTGACCGGCTGCCCCCTGGCACGGGAAGCGGGTGGGAACGCAGCCATGAACAAGGAAAGGGGGGTGTTTATGTGTTTTTTGCCTGCATTATATTTGCACAGGGTTCCCCTGGCCCTTTCCTTGCCGCATCTCCACGCACTTGCAGCCCCCAAAAGCAACATATTGAGTGCTGGATTGCCCCCGGCAGTGAGATTATATCACATCGTGCACAATTGCCAAGAGGTGTGGATCTTGATAAAAGGGACAGATCTGCCATGGACTGCCGGACGTACGTATGTCTTCAGAAATGCGTTCCAGCCATTTATGAAAACCAGGCCATCAGATGGGAGGTTTTCTGTCATAAAGGAAAGGCAATTCAATTCAGATATGCTACGGCTGGCTGGGGGTCAAATAAACTGTGACTTCAGTGGGAAAACAATGCAGCTCTTACCTTATTTATTTATTGGCCAACGTTCACATTGCAGACCCCAATATTTGAGCAGATGTCTGCAAAATTAGAGGCAGCGTAGTGCAGTGATTAAAGCAGCGTTTTTCAACCTTGGCGACTTGAAGATGGGTGGACTTCAACTCCAAGAATTCCCCTCCCAGCCAAATTCTGGGAGTTGAAGTCCACCCATCTTCAAGTCACCAAGGTTGAAAAACACTGGATTAAAGTATTGACTTGGACCATCATTAACCTCCAAAGAATGCTGTTTTAGCAGTCCAGGAAAAATGGCTTCCTCTTTTTAATTTTGGGAGAAATTTGTTTGGATCTCTCAGTTGGCGCACGCCATTCCGTGTACTCGCCAGGCGCACACATCGTTCTAAGCCACAACTGGTTTGATTGGGTTTTCGGTGACAGGAATGTTCTGCCCTCACCAAGTCAGTTCACATCTCTTGCCAAGCCAGGATATTCTTTTAGCCACACTTTACTGAACAAGCTGCATTTGAGATTAATAATACAAGATTTGAAAGAAGCCGGTGCATCAAAATGCGTCATTTACTTCTTGGAACGTTTCTTCCATTTATCATTTATCTATAGACTTTGGAGTGATTTCTCCCTTCCTTGAAATTCTTGCTTCTCCTAACTGGAATTGAGGATCCTTCCCCACGTGGTTCTAGTTAATGAGTTTGAGGACACAACAGCCTTCATCGGCCCATCCTGTCTTATATCCAGGGATGCTGCAGTATATGGTTAACCATTCATGAACTGATCACCTATTTCCTGCCAGCGCTAAGTACATGGAGGACCACGCACACCTTCTGCCCTCCGTTCTGGCCCTTCCATCCAGAATCTCAAATTCCTGGAAATCATCTGGTTCACAGACAAAGACACACCGAGCCCCGAGTACTACAGCTCCTAGCCTTTGACGCAGTCCCTGCTGGTTTGGGCGCACAAGCATGCACAGCATCATAGAGTCACCAGGTTGAAAGGGATCTTGGAGGTCATGTAGGCCAACCCTCCACTCAGTGCAGGATTCACTAGAATGCCTCCAACAGACGACCCTCCAGACTGTGCTTGAAGCCCTCCAGAGAAGACTTCACCAGGCCTGATCCACTTGCCAGACAGCTTGTATAATGAGGCTTCTCCTGCAATGCAAAAAAATAGAGTGGCAACCAATTTCTCTTTTCCCCCATCCCCATTCATTCTTTAGGAAAGCTGATTTTCATTCTCAGCTTCACCCTCCCCAAACTGAACATGAATTCCAGGCTGGGAAGATACAGTGATGTGGCGCTCAGGATGGCTGTGTGCGCTCGATGACATCACGATGCCTGCGTCTTTCCTCCTCCCCCTGTGAAGGTCCGTGAGCTCGTGTTAAAGAGTGATCTGCTTTATCAAGCTGCAAAGAGAACTGAAATGGCAATTTTATCGTCAAGGTTTGCCTGCAGCAAGCCGTTTGGACATCGCCGGTGTGAACGAGCCACTGCTTACAAAGCCGTGATAATGGCTTGGTCCGTATTATGAACCAGGTCAATTGCGTTCGATGTAACACCCCACAACTGAACGATGACAGAGCTCAGTACGTGAACTGCAACCTGAGGCTACTCGTTAAAACCATCCAGAAATTGCAACTAGAGTAAAATGCAGCAACCAGGGTAAGAAAACGCAGCATAGAAGGCCTGTTCTAGAAGATCCAACTCCGTTTGCCAATTGCCTAACAGGCAAATTTTAAAGTGTTGGGGTTGAAAGTCCTAAATGGCCTAGGCCAGTGTTTTTCAGACTTGGCGAGTTTAAGAGATGTGGATTTCAACTCCCAGAATTCCCCAGCCAGCATGGCTGGCTGGGGAATTC